AAGGAGGGGAAAAGGAGGGGGAAAGGAGGGGGAAAGGAGGGGAAAATGAAGGGGAAAAGGAGGGGAAAAGGAGGGGAAAAGGAGGGGAAAAGGAGGGGGAAAGGAGGGGAAAATGAAGGGGAAAAGGAGGGGAAAAGGAGGGGAAAAGGAGGGGGAAAGGAGAGGGAAAGGAGGGGGAAAGGAGGGGGAAAGGAGGGGGAAAGGAGGGGGAAAATGAGTGGAAAAAGGAAGGAAAAAAAAGAGGAAAAAAGGAAGGATAAAGGGTTTAAGGCATAAACGATGGGGCTGGTGTCAGCTACAGAGGGAAGGAAGCAGCTGCCGGGGCACAGAATTAAACGGGAAGCAAAATAAATCGATTTTTAACTGTCACAGAAGCGGGGCCGGGGCTGGTGTCACAGAGCTCGGGCTGGGCAGTGCTCAGGAGGCTGAGCCCAAATTCTGGGGAGCAAAACACGGAAACCCACGGGAGGACGCTGGGATTCACACCGGGAGGGTTTTAAGGGATGACCCGACCCAGGAAACACCTGGAAACACCTGGAAACACCTGGAATTCCACAGGGAGGATCCTCAGCCCTACAAACCAACCTGAACTCCCTGCCCAGCCTGGAAACCAGGCCCCAGTGTCCGCCCAGGCAGGGCTGTGGGAATTGATCCCCATCCCTGGAATGGGGCTGTGGGGAATTGATCCCCTGGATCCCCATCCCTGGAGCAGGAATTGATCCCCTGGATCCCCATCCCTGGAGCAGGAATTGATCCCCATCCCATTCCCATCCCCTGGATCCCCATCCCCATTCCCTGGATCCCCATTCCCATCCCCTGGATCCCCATTCCCATTCCCACTCCCATTCCTGAAGGACGTCCTGGCAGGGCAGAGCCCGCTCAGGTCAGGCTGGATCCCCATCCCTGGACCAGGAATTATCCCCATTCCCATCCCTGGGGCAGGAATTGATCCCCATCCCCTGGATCCCCATTCCCATCCCCTGGATCCCCATTCCCATCCCATTCCCATCCCTGAAGGACGTCCTGGCAGGGCAGAGCCCGCTCAGGTCAGGCTGGATCCCCATGAATCACCCCCAGCACTGCCAGGATTCCTGCATTTCCATATTAACATGAAGAATTGTCGGAATTACCCATAAGCAGCAGGCTGGAACAGCCAGAGCAGGAAGCAGCCACCTTTATATGTCATTTGTGGGAGATTGTGGGAGATTAAATTTAAATACATTGTTGTTTGCCTTAATTGCTTGTTTGAAGCCGATTTTAGGGCCGTGTGATTGAAGGGCTCACACCATTAAGTGCTCAAACACAGCTAATACATTTTATAAATGGCCTGCACAATTTCACAGGCAAAGAAGTTTCAGATAAAAAGCAGCCTCCCAAAAAGGGAAAAAAAAAAAAAGAAAGAAAAGGCAAAAGGAGGAAGTTCACCTGCAAGAGGGGAGGGAAGGATCTGGGTGAGGCTCGTGCCACAGTGACCAGAAAGCCGGGAAACCCCAAATAAACCCTAAATAAACCCTAAATAAACCCCAAATATGTGTTTTTAACACCCTCAGGAGCTCCCAGGTGAGGGGTTTGACCCGTTTCTGTGCTATAAACAGAAACAGCAGCACAGACCCCTCTGGGATGCAGAATTCTCTTTGATTCCAGCTGAAGCCCCGCAGGAGGCAGGGAGGTGTTAAATGGACTCAGGACCTGGACACACACGGGGTCCTTAGGATGGATTAACCTTCCCAAACCCGTCCCAAACCAGTCCCAAACCCGTCCCAAACCAGTCCCAAACCAGTCCCAAACCCATCCCAAACCAGTCCCAGCCTGGGAACGCAGGGGAGCAGGGTGAGCACATCCCTGAACATTTCACTCAGAGCCACAATTCTCCCCAAAAATGGCATTTTGAGGTCCCAGTGCTTCAGAACACAAAGCCCCAAATCCTGCCCTGCACTTCCAGGGCAGCCCCAGGGTCCAGCAGATCCCATTAAATCACCAATTCCACCATCCCCAGGGTCCAGCAGATCCCATTAAATCACCAATTCCACCATCCCCAGAGCCCAGCAGATCCCATTAAATCACCAATTCCATCATCCCCAGAGCCCAGCAGATCCCATTAAATCACCAATTCCATCATCCCCAGTTTCTCCCAGTGCCAGAGAGCCCCGAGCTCAGTTTTGGGACAGCACCCTGGAAATTTAATTCCCCTGGAAATTGAAGGAAAATGGGATGGGAGCATCATTTTCGGTAGAATTTAAAGGAAGCTGGAGGGAAGGTGTGCCCGGAGGAGGAGGAGGAGGAGGAGGATGTGCTTCCTCCTGCCCCCTCCCCTGTCTGATCCCAGCGAACTCCCCACAGCCCGGGCAGGAGGAATCCACACGGGGCAGGGAAAGCCCATCCCAGAATAGAATTTTGGGGAGCAGGAACCACGTGCAGCCATCACCTGTCACATTCCCAGCTGCTCCCGGCCCTGGGGGCCCTGCATTTATCTGGGAACGAGGCCCCAGAGCCAGCCCCATCCATCCCGGGAGGGCTCTGGTGGGAGCTGAGCCAGGATTTGCAGAGCCCAGCTCTGGTTTCTTCCCGGGATCCCCTGGGGCTCAGAGCCCAGAGTCAGGATTTATTTGCCCATCCCAGCTCTGATTTCCTCTCAGGATCCCCCGGAGCTCAGAGCTCCCATCCAGGATTTATTTGCAGATTCCTGGGATCCCCTGGAGCTCAGAGCTCCCATCCAGGATTTATTTACAGATTCCTGGGATCCCCTGGAGCTCAGAGCCCACATCCAGGATTTATTTGCAGATTCCCGGCCCCCCCTGGAGCTCAGAGCTCCCATCCAGGATTTATTTGCAGATTCCCGGGATCCCCCGGAGCTCAGAGCCCACATCCAGGATTTATTTGCATTCCCGGGATCCCCTGGAGCTCAGAGCTCCCATCCAGGATTTATTTGCATTCCCGGGATCCCCCGGAGCTCAGAGCTCCCATCCAGGATTTATTTGCATTCCCGGCCCCCCCCGGAGCTCAGAGCTCCCATCCAGGATTTATTTGCATTCCCGGCCCCCCCCGGAGCTCAGAGCCCACATCCAGGATTTATTTACAGATTCCTGGGATCCCCTGGAGCTCAGAGCTCCCATCCAGGATCTATTTGCATTCCCGGCCCCCCTGGAGCTCGGAGCTCTCTGGCCGTGGCACACACCAGCCCCAGTCCCACATTGGGGCCGTACCTGTCCGCAGCCCGGGGCGCTGCACACGAAGGGTCTGTCGTCCCCCATCCTTCCCTTCCGCAGCCTGGGGAGCACAGAAAGCACAGAAATGGTTAAAGAGCCCCAAAAGCCCCCGCAGCACCGGCAGGAGCTGCCCCCTCTGGGATCTGTCACTCCCTGCGATGGGAATTATTGCAGCCCGGGTTTAGGACCTGGCGGGGCCTGGCTGGGATTTTACAGCTCGAAGGGAACCCGGGCAGGTCTGGGGGCTTCCAGCACCCCCAGAGGGTCCTGCAAGGTGGAGACAACACCCGAGACCCCCCAGCACGGCCCCACCCGCCCTCCCTCGGCATTTACGGGATCAGGGAATACCCTGGGAGCCACAGGGATCAGGGAATACCCTGGAATATTCAGGGAATATCCTGGGAATATTCAGGGAATATCCTGGCACCCACAGGGGTCAGGGAATACCCTGGGAATATTCAGGGAATACCCTGGGAATATTCAGGGAACATCCTGGCACCCACAGGGATCAGGGAATACCCTGGAATATTCAGGGAATATCCTGGCACCCACAGGGGTCAGGGAATACCCTGGAATATTCAGGGAATATCCTGGCACCCACAGGGGTCAGGGAATACCCTGGAATATTCAGGGAACATCCTGGCACCCACAGGGATCAGGGAATACCCTGGAATATTCAGGGAACATCCTGGCACCCACAGGGATCATCAAAGGCAGCCCAGGGATCCCCTGCACACAAACAAACCAGCAGGGACAGTGGCAATCCACGGGAAAACAAAGTGTGAGCGAGCAGCCATGCAATAAATCCAATCCTCTCTGTGCACCCGTTATATTTTCAATGGGAGAGAACTAAAATTTGTCATTTAATTAATTAAGGGATTATAGGAGTGGTGCTCCGTTTTACAAGGCAATAATCGGGCTCCCCAGTGGGTAAACTACCAGGCTGATGGCAGGGGCAGTTTATCACGGATTACAGCCAAGGATAACAAAACACTCACTCCTATTATGCTACAAGTGAAGCTGTTCTCATTAATAAAAAATAAGAGTAAATAAAGTAAAGCCTTCCTCCCCCCCTCCCAGCCTCAAACTCAGAAATAACGGCTCCCTCCACCCGCTGATATTGTTACAGGGATTTTTAAAAGCTCCAATAAAGCAAATGCTGCGTGCTGGGGGGGCGGGGGCTGCTCTGGGGGGTCCCAGCACCTCCTGCTCGGAGCTGGGGGGTCCCGGAATGGCAGGAGGGGACCCAGGGGGGACAGGGAAGG